TTTTTAAATAAGTTGTATTAATAAGTAAAGGCATATAACCAGTTGAATTGTAGTGCATTGAAAATAGTTTTATATAATTAGTTTATTAATTAAATTAACTTGGTCCATAAACTTCGTCAGAAAATTTGGTCCATAAATCAAACACACTTGCATGTAATATTATGAAACTCGGTACTCATATAGATCTCATCGGGCCAAACAACTTTAAGCCAGCCCAACAGGAAGTGGGCTATTTTGGTCTTAATGTGGATGTTTTGCAAAACCAGGCTCTACATTTTTACCCACTCCTCTTAAGTGGTTTATTTTATTCCCACCAAACTTTTTCAACATGATGAAAATACATTAAAGAAGCATAATTGTGAATATCTATTGAATATCTCTAATTGTTTTGCTATGGCGAGGGATTAAAGTCATGTAAAAAAAAAAAAACACTAAAAGCCTCATATCTTCTAAAAATGTAATTATACACCATTTATTTCTAGATAAAATTATACAAATATCAGAACTAAACCCATTTTATTCTTGTTTTCAATTTAAGAATAATGTACAAGTTTAAAAACAGCCAGGATGCACTATTCAGTTAAAAAATAAATATATCAAATAATACATAGGGCTATACTGCTCTCTTGTGTTCAAAATCAGGTAGGCCTGTTGTATTTAAATATAGGTAGCTGCTATGTGACTCCGAGAATTTTTTCTCACCGGTTATTTGACGTGTAACACCGCTGGGGGCTTTTATATCGCTAAGTTAAAGTGATAGTAAAGTAAGGACATTTATAGTGGTGGCGCTCGCAGTGCGCTCGAATGAATTTCTATGGAAGTAGAAATGAAAAAACGTTCGCTCTGTTTTGCTCGCTCGTCGCCATGGACGCGCACCGTAATGAATGCCACTGCAGCCGCATACTTTTTAGTGTCACTTTAAAATTAGTGCAATATCGGGGGCCAATTGCTTGAATTGTGAGTTCAATAGTCTATTATTTTTCACGGAAAACACAACAACAAAAGAGTACAATGACAGATTCGCTTAAATAGGCGCTTTTACATAAAATAGCCTATTCCGTCATCATCTTTTCAGTCAGCTCTTCACTCTCGTGATTAATGAAATTTGACTCCTGTTGCTGATATTTGCTGCAACTTTCGTTCTGCTCACAATTTAGTAAGCAAACACGCTTCAAATGTGTTTTTATTTTATTTTTGTGTATATATATGTGTGTGTATATATATATAGCTTATGTTTCAAATATGACTTAATTAACAATCGTTTGAAAGAATGATACTTTTAAACATATCACTAAACCGTCATTAGGTGTCGCCAGGCGACCGTCTTAATGAGCGAGTCATTGATTCATTTGTTCGAACGATTCGTTCGAACGGCTGAGTCATTCATGAATGAGACAGATTATGGATTGGTCATTGAATCTTTGAGTCAACCGATTCGTTCAAAATGCTGAATCATTCAGTAATGAGAAAACACGTTGCTGTGAGATGCTCGATGGTTCTGCTGTGATCTTTGTTTAACTATTTTCACTGCTGAAACAGAAAAAAGTCAATATTGCATATAAAATGTAAGTGATTTGACTTGTGTGTGTGTCTGTGTCTGTGTCTGTGTCTGTGTGTGTATGATTGTGTCTGTTACAGTGATTGTTTAACCCTTGTTAAAGTTTAGGCCTTGTCTTTTTGGATATATATCTTTTTATATAAAAAAAATAGGCATACAACCCATATATTTTAAATGTATTGTTTGCTTTAAATTACATTAAGATTTGTATGTTTGGTAATTGAACCTGAATGAATTTTAAATGAATGTGCTATATTTCAGAGTTTTCCTTAAAATTTGAACTAACACTAACTTTATTCTCATCTGAAAGATAGATTATTTATTTCTGTATAAAATAAAAAAGAGATTTTGGTTGGGTGACAGCTGTAGTCTACAGTTTGACAAAAGCACAATGTTGTGTTTTATTGCGATTGTTCACAAATATAAGTAAACACTTTACAGTTTGAATAATGTCCTGTATGAACAAAAGGACGGAGTATGTTTTTATGTCTACATTGTTCAATCACGTTTCACACACACACACACACACACACAAACAAACTTTTTTTCTAATCAGATCAGGCAAGTAATATTCTGTCTTGGCACAATTGATTTAACTTTCATAACTTACTTATTTCATGTGTCCATTAAGTCCATGAGACCGTAGGGTGTCTCATTTTTCATTTTAGGTTTCAGAAGGTTGATCACGCATATGATATGTGCCCTCAATGCACACTTTTGCAGAGCCCACACCAATGCAAGCTCTACAGTACACATCTTCTCAACAGTCAAAGCGGGGTTAAGTTATTGCCCGTCATGCACAGTAACCCTAAAGGCACCAGGATGGCGGTGCCACCGGCTTGTTTATATATATATATATATACATATATATTGTATATATATATATAAATATAGCTGCGAGCAGCGATGAAGGGCCAAAGCCGGTGGCACCGCCACTCCGGTGCCTTTAGGTAACTAAAGGCACCGGTGTTGCGGTGCCACCGGCTTGGGCCCGTAATCGCTGCTCGCAGCTATATTTTTTATTTATTTTTAGACTTGTTAAAACAAGCAGAGAAGAAATTAAAACAGTCTTCTAACCTGTGTTCTAAAATAGTCGTCTTCTTTTCTGGGAGCCTATTACTTTTGCGGTAGAAATATCGGTATCGGCAAGTACACAAATGTAAATACTCGTACTCGTATCGGTTTGAAAAAAAATGGTATCGGGCCATCCCTAATGTTAACGATGTCTTTCAAAACTTTTGGGCCGGCCAGTTTCGATCCCTTAAGAAGGCTGGAGGAGTTATCCAGCTTTCAGATTTAATCAAAAATCTCTTAATTTGTGTTCCGAAGATGAACGAAAGTCTTATGGAGTTGGAACAACATGAGGGTGAGTAATTACTGACAGAATTTTCATTTTTGGGTGAACTAACCCTTTAATATGTTGAATATAATACAACTCAGTCCAAAGTCCAAGGCTATTTATAATATAGTTTATACTTTTATTATTATACATTTTTATTTAATTACCAGTTCAATATTTGTCACCAGATGAGAAACTTTTTTTTTTTCTAAATATATTTTCTTTCTAAATCAGTTAATAATTCCTTAACACCGTAACAAGTTTGAGTTATACAGCACATGAGGACATTATAATCTTTAGAAAGCTAAGTTAAAAGGAATGTTCACCCAAAAATGAAAATGTGGTCATTCATTTACTCATTTAATTTACTTACGTATGTTGTTCCAAACCTGAATATAAAGATGTTTTGAGAAATATCACAATGTCTCTTTTTTTTTCTTCTCCATATAATGAAAGTCAATGGAATCAAAAACGTGTGTTTCATGAGTTCACACTTACAAATAATCAGATCAGAGTAAAGTAGAATGCATATTTGGCGTGCTGTCGGAGGACAGGGCTCCGAGCTCAGAATTTGGCCCGAACCCAGAGTACTACCCCCGTATTTCTAGTTAGGAAAGTTACCAGGCGAGTGTGAGGAGACGGGGTGGAAGAGGGATGCTGAAAACTCTCGAGGAACATAGGTGAGTCGACTGTGTATAGGTCTCCACTCATTTGCTGATTAGACATGTTGATTACTGATTGTTGACAACAGGTTGGAATGACGTGATGATTGGAATGATGATTATTGAAATGACGTGATGATTGGATAGATAATTTGAACGTGTTCCTCCCGAACTTTGTTAATAAAACATCATGTGTGTGTGTGTGTGTGTGTGTTCTTAAGAAGAAAGAAAGTTTAAAATGACATGAAAGTGAGTGAATTGTGACATAAAATTTTATTTTTGGGTGTACCATCCCTTTCAGTTAACTCAACTTAGACAAAAAGTACATTTTGTAATTGTATTTACTAATTTGGTGGACCAATGTCACACTGTCACTCTACAGATTTTACTGTTAACATTATGTGATTACACAGGTCACAGAAGGAGTAACAGCATATTTCAACAAGATTTGTGAGCAATAGTATTCAGGAAAAAGAGCAAAAATAGGATCTTCGAAAATGTTTCTTGTAGTATTGCCCCAGCTATCTACAGACACATGTTTGCTCTCTTCCATAATACAGGTATCAGAGGGCAATCAAAAAGTACAACATGTCTGGACAGCAGCAATCAATGATCGTACACATCACTCAGAGATCATGACAGCTGACTCCTTGCCAGCCACAAACAACAGTGAGATCCACTGCAGCAATTTATCAGACGTGTCAAGAGCAACCTGAAGAGAACAACACATCCTGTGCCCAATATATATCAATTAAATTACCATATGCTCTATGTTGCTTATACGACGTATATGACATACTTCACTGCTTTCATTCACACGGCTCTACCCTTTCTCAGCATTACAATGCATCATGTTTTAAAGTGCTATTTGTCCAAGTCTAATGGGATGCAAAAGAGCAAGCTATTAGTATTACAGTGAGAAGAGTTTCTCCAACCCAGCATCTAGGAGTTACAAATGAACAGATTTCCACTGTCAAAACAACACAGGTTAGTGTTCATGCTTCACCGGGCAATGAAGGAAAAACAATAGCAAAACTGAGAAAAAACATGACTGTTTAATAATTTCTTTACGGAGAAGAGGAAAAAAAGCATGCAGGCTTTCGTCAACCGTCTTTCACTTTGCAGCACTGGGAGAAGGTAATGTTTATGTGAGAACAAGTGTTATTTTATGGATGTTATTGAATTTTCTGCACAGGCAAATGGTAGCCTTTTCACACAGCCCTTCAGCTCTGTGCTAGGAATCTCCAAAGAAGAAAGAGGTGTCAAAAAGGGGTCCAAGGTGTGCTTTATGATGGTGCGCTTCAATGGCCAAAAAAGTTAAGAACAAAGTTAAATTAAATTAAAGAATTCATTACAGAAAAAAAAATGCTTTCATGCAAGCTTCAGGCTAGAATCTTGTTTGTCTTAAAAAAAAAATGGGGAAAAGACGGGGGGAAAATACCTTTATTTTCGCCACCCTCATTATTGGTGAAATCATCGCCTTTGACTGTGTTGGCTCCCACTGTCAACAACAGGGGAAAGGTAAAGAGGATAAATGGGGGAACAGATTTTAAAACAGCAGCTTAAATAAACGAAAATGATTATATAAATCTGGTAGAACAACTACTTTAACACATTGAGTATTAATCGTTGGGGCTTTCTAAATTAATAAATACTGTACTTTTTTTAGATAATTACAAATATTATTTTCCTATTATAACATAAAAACAATACTTATGAGTCTTCCATTTTGGTGTGCAAATGAGGGGGAATTATAAAGTGTCTATGCCACAAAAATATTAAAAAAAAACTTTTAGCAATATTTTATCAAATGCAAAATGAGTTGAGTTGTTTCTGTAAATGACCTTGGCTCATTACATATACAGCACTGTGTGTTAGCATTGGCTCACACTGAGAGATCATGCAGGTTCCAATATTTCTTCTGTTAGCAGAGGATTGTGGGATGTCAAGCTGTATAAACAAAAGCAAGTAGCATGTAAATCACTAGAGTGTGAACAACACACCCACCATGCTGGGTCATAAGCATTACACCACAGGGATTATGAGGTTGGACTGTAGAACATTACATGTAATAACTTTGCCAAGCGGTGATTACGGTACAGATATTGAATAATTATACACTTCTTCTGTCTTTTTTTTCTTTTCTTTTTGTCTTAGTTTGTGTTTTAATAATGCACCACAGTACTTTTTTCAGCTGATTGGATTTTTTATTATTTATATTTATTTTTTAGCTAAAAAATGATGAATAAATAAAACCTGTGAAAATAGTGCTGAATTTAAGAACATGATTTCCTGGCATGATACAGTTGGATGCCCAATGATTAGCTACTTTGCTAGTATGCATTTTCACTCTCCTTTCCTATATGAATTATGACCCTAACAGTAAATGTCAAGTATTGAAAGAGAGAGAGAGAGAGTTGCTTTCCTGCAGAGATACGATTTCACAAAGTTTGTGCTTTTACAAAATTACAAATCCTACAGTAAAATTGTATTTAGGTACTCAAAATGTGTTAGCACATGTCAATCCCCACATTTAGATATTTTATTTAGGTTATGTGACATTGTGTTGGAATCATTGTTTTGCTCTAAGAAGAACTATCAAAGTTCAATGTTATATCAAATTGAATGATATTCTCTTGCATCATTTCTCTGCATTATGTCTTTCATTTTTCCTTCTTGTAATAAGATGTTTTGTTCCTGCTGATGAAAAGTAGCCCTACAGCATGATGCTTCCACCGCCATATTTCATTGTAGATGTAGTGTGTATTGTTAGGTTTGCACCACACAGATCTATTTGACTTCTAGCTAAACAGCTCTGTCCTAGACTCTAAATCTTTCCCATCACCACTGCATCACTGTTATGAATTTTGGCAAACTCCAGAGATCCTTTTACATGGTTCTTTCTGAGTAACGACTTCTTTTGTACCATCCTCCTAAAGAGGCTTGTATTATACAAAGCTCTGCTATGGTGCAGCTTTATGTGTTCCCTGCAGCCACAAAAATGAACATTGTATGGCTTCAGAATAACAAATGACAGCTTTGCTATCTGAGCCAAATTCTACACAGATAGGGGTTGGGAATGGGTTAATATGAGTAGATGTAAATTCACTTATATTAACAACAGTAACATCTACGGAGGCAGAGAGAGCTCGGCGCACTGCAACTGAAGAAAACACATGCAAATTAAGAAAACATCTTCATCAGTTTGACAACATGTGCTGTGTTTTGTTGCAGTGCATTGAGCTCGCTCAGCCATCGTGAACGTCTGTAAAATGTGTAAACTAACAAATGTGTAAAATTTAATAGGTAAACATTTACATATTTTGTAACACTCTAAGCCCTTGTAACACTTTACAGCCTACTTTGTATTTATTTAGTCGCAGCCTACGTTGAATTTATTTAGTCGCAGCTTACGTTGTATTTATTTAGTCGCAGCCTACGTTGAATTTATTTAGTCGCAGCTTACGTTGTATTTATTTAGTCGCAGCTTACGCTGTATTTATTTAGTCGCAGCCTACGCTGTATTTATTTAGTCGCAGCCTACGCTGTATTTATTTAGTCGCAGCTTACGTTGTATTTATTTAGTCGCAGCCTACGCTGTATTTATTTAGTCGCAGCCTACGCTGTATTTATTTAGTCGCTGTCTACTTTGTATTTATTTAGTCGCAGCCTACGTTGAATTTATTTAGTCACAGCCTAGGTTGTATTTATTTAGTCGCTGTCAGGCAGAAACCTCATATCTCCATATTTTGTCTTTGTTTTCATAAATCATTACTATTGATCACCATTTATGTCTGTCTGTGGTTATTGCAAATATTTAATCAATGAAAAGCAACTTCAAACTGTCGGTAAAACCCCATAAGAGCTGCACACATTTTGGACTGTCTCTGCATGTTTAAAGGTAATCCAATGCAAGGATAGCCTAAATAAAGAAAATGTTTTCTATATAGTACACCATTTTCTTTACTCAAGAAACACACACACACACACACACACACACACACACACACACACACAGACACATACACACACACACATACATATATACAGTATATATATATTTAATGCACTTTTTTTATGTGTTTGGGGAGAGGGGAAGAGTGTCTTAGTCTAGTATAGCCAGTGCTGTCTTAAATAGCCTGTGCGTAGCACTTCATCTTTATAACATTAGATTTTGGCCAAATGACAGAAGTGTCCACAAAGCTACACTAAACTTTGAAACTTTATGAAAGTGTCTGACCAAATAAAGCCACAATATAAACTTTGTCAACACGGTGTTTCATTATCTAAAAAATATTGTGTTTTTTACATTCGCTGAAAAGTAGCGGTTTGTTTTGGACATACAAGGTTTCCGCCCGACAGCAACTATTTGCACTTATTGAAGGTCACCATTTTTCTTTCATTGTATCTATATGTTTGTGGATCATGGTAACTGAAACCATGCATGGTTCCTCACTACCATGCTAAAAAGTATACTGTTGAGTAAAGATTAAGCATGGAGCAAGATTTGTTTTACCAACGTTTATGTTACAGTCATTCACGCTAGAGCTCGGCTAATGTATGCACTGTTATTGATACAGTTCCCTCATGTTCACCGCAATAAATTAGAAAAATACTTGGTATAAGTATAAGTAAAATAATCGGTTTGTTGATGGACATGCACTTGTTAATGCTGATGGTGAGGAATTACAGTTGCAACATCTTGAGTCGTCCTTGCTATGGAGGTTCGGGTTGAATAACTAGTTCTTCCTAATTATCTATATATATTTATTTTATTTATATAATTTATATAATTGATCAATATGTGAATCCGTTGACTGGGCTACACATGACATGAGTTGTGGTTTCATTGGCACAAATTAATTTAGATGAGATTAGATAGAACTGTATTGATCCCACACTTGTATGTCAAGGACTTCCGAAGCTTTGTTCGGTCACATGCTTTTTCTGCTCTCCTGTGATTTGTTAGATATGGTGGAGAAAACAAGTCTGACCCCCAGATGTCGCTAATGCGCATTGTGTTAAAAGCTTTGAGTAATGAACCTTTTTTTGGCACTATTTGATGAAAGCCTCAAATGCTTCAGAAAGCCTCGGTTTCCCATCACTATTCATTACTGTCTTTAGTTTATGGTGTAGAATCGCTGAGCTGGCGTTCAGTTATGGCTATATGGGAGGGTTTTTTTTTCGACAAGCGCGCTGTACGTGGTAGACTGAGCTGTCTGGCCAATCAGAGCAGAGTAGCTCGTGGAAAGGAGGAATTTAGAGAGATTGATTCATCTGATGAGTTGTTTGAGAATCATTGAAAAATGTGGTGATGTTCAAATGTATATTTTGAGGAAATGAAACAGTTTGTTGACCTTTGATGCATGTAAGTTATAGGAGACTCCAAAACAACATTAGGAAACTTTAGGCAATTTAATATAAATCTATGGCATTTGTAAAACAGTAGCCTAAAAACATTCTGTAAAAATAAAAATGCAAAAAACTACAATAACTTAATGTCAAAAATGTATAATATTCCCTTACTTATGCTATACATTTAATACAATATACAGGACTGTGCTAACATTACATTATTCAATATACACATAATCTCAATGGTTACAGTTATTGTTATTACAGTAAACTAGTTTAAATCACAGAGATATTTGGGGCTCATAACAGATAATTCTGCACCAAATCGTTTCTCACTGGATTTATACTGCCTGTATGTGAGCAAACCATAGGAGTAAATACCACTATGAGTTGAATTTGGCCTCTTATTTTCACCTTTTCTTCATGTTTGTTCACAGGGTTTTATGGTGCAAACTTAAAACTTGAACCGACACTGAACAAAAATAACCAAATGCATAATTCAAGAACTGTACATAAATGAATATAATATATTCATTTCACTCCCGTATTGGTTTGTCATTCATGTTTAAAGCTAAAACTTTAAATGTGAGGTTACTTTGATTTTTAAGAATTGTTTTTAAGAAACAAAAAATGCCAGACTGACATAAATAATGTTGAATTTAATTATTAGAAATATCCAGTTTTCACTTATTTGTATTCAGTAAATTGAGAGAATAAATGTAATGCAGTGCTGCCTAAATCCTGCCAAATATTGATTTCATTTAAGAAGTTCAAAATAATATGTTAAATATAAATAATCTGTAAATGTTAATTGTAAAGTAGATTCACAATGCAAACGTAAAATGTTCAGCATAAAAGATGTAATGCTGTCAAATTAATTTTTCATTTGAATCAAACAGAGAGTTCAATCATAACAAGTCTGTACATGGCATTAATTATATATAAGATAATTGTCAAATGTCATCTGGCAACACTTCTGAACTAATATTAAAAATTACAATACTTAAGTTCATTACTTAATTTAGTCTACATTCATATTTTGATTTATACATTTTCAGATTATATTGTGACATTCATGAACTGATCTGCCAGCATCAAAAGTTTGTTAAAGGAGCTGTATGTAAGAAATTTATTTCAATTAATCAT